CAATACAACACGTATTAATCTTACAAATGTAATGTTGAGCAAAAGTTCAAAGGAGCCAGGTGCAGTGGCTCACACCTATAATCCCAACACTTAAGGAGGCTGAAGGAGGAAGACTACTTGAGCCCAGGAAGTTGAGGCTGCAGTGAGCTATGATTGAGCCACCACACTCTAGCCTGGGCGAGAGACAGACTCCGTTTCCAAAAAAAAAAAAAAAAAAAAAAAAAAAAGCTCAAAGAATACATACTATATAATTTTACCGACACAGAATTGGAAAACAGACAAAATTTTTCTACGGTCTTAGAATACAAGGAATATGGAATGGGGAGGGGGCATTTGGTGGGAACTCCAGTACTGATGTGTTTCTTGAATTGAATACTCATTCTGTGAATGTACTTATTCATCTAGCTGAACTTGTTTAAAGTATATCATACTTTAAAAATCTTACATTCACTGGATCCCTAACTGGCACAACAGGATTTGTAATCCTTTCCTACCACCAAGATGCTTCATCTATACCATAATCAGAGACTTGAATGGTAGCAGTCTCACATCAGCCCCACCGCTCTTTAGGATGTAAACATTTGTACCTGTCCATATATGCTACCAATACCTACCACTTGCTAATTATATGCCTACTATATGCCAAGCACTTTAACATTCAGTTAAATACTTACTGAGCATCTACTATGTACAAAGCCTATGCTGAATACTTAGGGTACAAAAAATGAGTAAGACATGGTACCTGGCTTACCTCATATACAGGTAACATCAAAAACTACGTCAGGGAGGCAAAGCACCAGAGTAAGTTTCTTGGAGGTGTTAATACTTGATTCTTTAAGAGAGGAGTAGGAATTATCCCAACAAAGAACATTTCAACAGAGGGACCAATTTGTGCAACAGCACAGTGATAAGAAACAGCATGACGTATTTAAAGAAACAATGAACAACTATTAGATGTCATTTAACGGGGGTAAAATCACAACTGGGTTGGGGTAGGGGAAAGCAGTAATAGAGATAGGAAGATGGCAAGTTATGAGGGGACTTAGACCTTAATCCAACAGGCAAGACAGATCAGCGAGGAAATGATCAAAGGAATGATTTGGCCAACATACTATTCAAGTAGCAGTACAGAAGATGGATTTAAGGGGATAAGACTGGCAGAAAGAAGTACAATTAGGAGACAGTTGTAATTATCCTGACAGAAGATAAGGGCCTAAAATAATGGAATGAAAGCAGTAGCAAATCTAGAGAAAATAAGACTACATTTAGATTATGCTGCTGGTCCAGAGATCAAACTTTGACAACCACTAACCTACACTAGCTAGGATTTGGCAAAATTTTTCTATGAAGAGCCAAACAGTAAATATTTCAGACTTTGTGTGTCACATACAGTCTCTACAGCATTTCATGTTTTTGTTTGTTTTTTAAACAACCCATTAAATATTAACAATCATTCTTAGCTACTAGACCTTACCAAAAAAAAAAAAAAGAAAGAAAAAAAAAAAAGCTGCAGCTACATTTGGGGTATGGGCCACAGTTAGTTTGCTGATCCCTGCTGCACACACATAAAGAAGTGAGAATGGCCTGGGCGTGGTGGCTCACACCTGTAATCCCAGCACTTTGGGAGGACGGATCAGGAGGTCAGGAGTTTGAGACTAGATTAATATGATGAAACCCCATCTCTACTAAAAATACAAAAATTAGCCAGGCGTGGTGGCAGGAGCCTGCAGTCCCAGCTACGCAGGAGGCTGAGGCAGAGGGATCTCTTGAACCCGGGAGGTAGAGGTTGCAGTGAGCCAAGATAGTGCCATTGCACTCTACCCTGGGCAACAGAGCAAGATTTCATCTCAAAAAAAAAGAAAAGAAAAGAAGTGAGAATGAATCGTCCTATGAGATTAATTTTCCTAAAATGCTATTAACATCACATTGGTCCTCACTCTCAACTAAGTAAGTCCAGTCCCAATGATGCCTGGCATTCATAGGCATCTGTACAGTAGGACCAGCCTACTACTCCAGGCTCATGAATTATGCCCCTGTGTACCTTCCATTCTTATTAAATTGAACTGTTTACATTTACCTGCCTCTGTATCTGTTTGGGGTTTCCCAATCCAATGTTCTTTCCTCCTGCTCCAAACCTGTTCAAATACCCTTCCTTCAAAGCATAATTCAAATCCTACCCCAAAATGATTCTACCCTCCTCAGAAGTCCTAAAAGCATTATCTCAACTTACTTGATATTTATTTGCTGCCCTAAAAGTTATTACTTACTTCAAATAAACTGAAAATTCCTTGACGGCAGGAAATAATTTATGTTACTCTCTATCAACGATCTAGCATATAACAAGGGGTAAACAAAAAGAAGATATATGTGTGTTTATATATGTAATATTTATATATGTACACAAATTTTTTTCTGAAATAGCTATATAACTAAAGCAAATGTGTTTTCACCTTTATTTATGTCAGTAATTAAACACATTAATTCTATGGACATAACTTGAATGCTGTAGGAACCACAGAATGACAATCCACAAACATCTCTCCATCTCCTATTACTCACACTTTTTTAGGACTAATATACTAGAGAAATAACACAATACAAGTCCAATTTTTCCAACGGTCAATGTTATCAATGTAGGTACACTGGCAAATATTAAAGACAGGCATTACTAAACCCAGTTGAAGTTTACTTATCTGTAGTTGTATTTCATCTATTTTGAAAATACAAAATAAGCTTTTATAATTGAATTGCTTTAAATATACCCTCAATTATTACTCAAGTTTAAAAAGTCACACACCGACTCCCCCAACAATTGTCACATATGTGGTCTTAATTTTAAGGTTCTCTGTGACAATGCACATTACCAAAAATGACATTACTGATTTCACTCAGAATTTAGGAAAACAATACACTTAGAATTTTTAAGAAAATAGTCCTTTTAGTTCATTGTTGATAAATAACAATAATCACAGAATGTTTTGAGCTGGATTAACGAATTCATCTTAGAATACCAAAGAAGTCTTTCCAAATCCAAAGCGTAAACTATGCCCTATAAGATTATCCAAAGAATGTTCAAGAATCTATAGAAATTCCTCCAGAATCACTTGCCCACATTCAATTGCAAACTACTACAAAAGTTTAAAACACTGAACTTCTGGCCTGGCACAGTGGTTCATGCCGGTAATCCCAGCACTTTGGGAGGCCCAGGCGGGCGGATCACGAAGTCGGGAGTTAAGAGACTAGCCTGGCCAACATGGTGAAACTCTGTCTCTACTGAAAATACAAAAAATTAGCTGGGCGTGGTGGCGGGCGCCTGTAATCTTAGCTACTCGGGAGGCTGAGGCAGGAGAATCGCTTGAACCCAGGAGGCAGAGGTTGCAGTGGATCAAGATCGAGCCACTGAACTCCAGCCTGGGTGACATATCTACATGTTTCCCCATACGCTGAACAAGAATAATTTAACTGGCATTCTCAGGCTTTCAGAACTGATTAAATGTTTATGAAGTACTTTAGGACCATGAAGGGAAGCCACTGTAACCATAAAATGTCATATTTGCTTAATGCAAAACTATAACTACCTGTTAGCTATAGCTGCAAATCCAATCCTCACAATTCTTTTGTGTCTCCCTAACACAGAAAATCTTCAGTGAGTCATGTATTTCAGTAAGGTACATGTCTTTAATGAGCTAGTTTAGCAACCTCAGAGAAATGAATTTTCTTCCAAATCTTTGCTTTCTCACAGGCCATGTCACTCTCCAAGTCAATTTTTTGCAAAGGGAAACATGATCCTATTCACCTCGAGAAGTTAGGTCTAGTTATTGATAAGCCAATACCAAATGACTGAAGACTATGAGGAATCACAGTAGAACTTTCTTTGTTAACATACCAGAAATGTGACTCCTGAAAATAATCCCAGAAAACAGGCGTTCTGACAAGCGCTTTATTAAAGGGAAAGTCCCTACACTTTTACATAAAGAACTTCGAAAATGCTTTTAGACAGTGGAGACAGAAAACTCAACTCGCTCAAAGCTTAAACTTAATTGGTTAGGTAGTTCCAGCACCTGCCTGGTGTTGAGCGACCAGTGACTGGGGCCACTGGTCGGGGAAAGTGCTGATGCCATCTCCAGCTGCCCCTTTCGTGAATGACAGTAACAATGCAAACACTGACAAAAGAGCTGCGAGCCCCCCCACCCCCAAGCCCCTGCTTAGCAGTACTTCCACCCAGCCCCAACATACAAAGCGACAAATCCCTGAAAGGCCCTCCTCTGACAGATCTCCCCATGCAGAGACCTCGCCTGTAGTCTGGTAACATGAAAAAGTGCTACCCTTCACTCCTTGCAAGACAGCGGAGCCCCTTAAAGGTGCAGGGAAACGCTGCCTGCTTCTCCAGCGCCAGAGGCACGGGGCGAGAAGACTTCCTCTCCGGCTGCGGGCGCGGAGGCTCGGGGGCAGACAGAGAACTCCCTCTGGGCGAGGGTACTCCCCAGACGGCCAGCGGGGAGGGCAGGGAAAACGGGAGAGGAAAGGAAAGGGTCCCTGACTCGGCAGGAGGGCGGAGGGTCGCTGCCCTGTGGCGTGGACAAGCGGGGCTCGGCGACGGGCACACCGTCCTTCCCGGGGGTGGCAGCGGCCGGCCGCCCGCTTCCTGCGAGCCAGAGGCGGCGACAAGTCGGCTTGGGTCCGGGAACACGTTCCTTCCTCGAGCCTTGTCCCGAGGGAGGGCTCAGGCTGTCGAGGCTGCAACTCTCCCTCTCGCCCAACTCCGGCAAGCGTGAGGCCGGCCGGCCCCGGGCTGCCGGCGCGGGATGCCCGCCGCCCGGGTGGGGGAGGCGGCGAGGCCGGCCTCGGCTCGCTCCCTCCCCACGCGGTCCGCGCCCGGCGCCCGTCCGCGCCCTCGTCCCCGCCCGCCGCCGCCGCGGGGCCGGGCCGCCGACCTCGGCCGGCCGGGCGTGGGGCCAGGCGGCGGCGGCAGCGGGCGGGCCGGCGGCCTGGGGCCCTACCTGAGGCTGTGTACCAGCTCCCGGCGTGACTGGCTTCCCGGCAGACCACTCGGTTGGACATCTTGGTGCCTGTGCCGCCTATGGTGCACGAGGATGAATGAGGAGGCGGCGGCGGCGGCAGGAGCGGCTCCGCGAGGGGACGAGACACCGCGGGCCCAGCCCAGGAGGAGGCGGCAGCGGGGAGGGGATCAGCCCGGCCCAGGAGGAGGAGGAAGAGGAGGAGGCGGCGGCCCAAGAGGAGGAGATGGCAGCCGGGGCGGTGGCGGTGGCGGCGGCAGCAACAATCACCACAAACTCCGGCCACCGCCGGAAGATGGGGCCCACGGCGGCCTCACCGAAGCCCGGAAAGCCCTGGCCCCGGCCCCTGGCGTCCCCGCTGCTGCCCAGCCGGGGCTGGTTCCGCCGAGCCGCCCCCACGGCCCCCTCCCCTCCCAGCTGGCCTCCTCGAGCCACCGCGGGTGACCCCACCCCCGTGACTCCGCGCCCGCCCCCGCCCCCCACCCCCCGCGGGGCTCCCCGCACCCACCCCCACCCCCGGCAGGGCCCTCCAGCCCGGCCGCCCGCCGCCGGCCCCGCCCCGCTCCTCCTCCCGGCCGCGCGGCGAGGTTAACGGCGGAAACTGGACAGGCCTGACGGCATCTGGGGTCGGGCAGCCCCGCGAGGAGGCAGCGGCGGCTGCAGCTACGCGCACACAAAAGCCCAGGGCCGGGGCCTGAACCGGGGAAGGCAGACCCGAGAAGAGCCAACGCTTCCTTACTCGCCACTCTAACGGGTCCTGCCCACTGAGCATGCCCAGCACCGCTGCCTAGCCCGCCGAGGAATCTCAACGTGCACGCTCCGCTCTCCGGGGTTTAGCGGCAGCAGAGGCTGGGAGGTGGGGGCAGGGCGCGGGGAGCAGGACGCAGCCGCAAGGCAAGCCCCCTCCCCCAGCCAACTTCCTCAAATGGAGAGCACCTAGGGCTCGTGGATGCGGCATTCCACGAGGACAGTCCCGCGGGTATCCAACATACACTGGCATCTTTCATGGATTCGCACCCCCAAGGTCTCATTCCTAGGGTGGCCACGCCGGAAAGTTCATCTGTAGAAGCAGGCACGTGGTAAAGTGTGCCTGTGGTCCTGCAACTGCTAGTTTTTGCTTCACAGGGTCACCCTTACCACCTAACGGTGGCTTTGACACTGTAACCATTTATCTTGTTTCATGTTATATTTATGTAGGTGCATGTCTTATCTCGCTAACTAAAGTGCTTGATATAACTAGCCTCAGTTATCCTCAACTGTAAAATGGGGACACTCAAGGAGTGTACCTAGGATTATAAGAGCTGCTGAATGCGAATAGCCTGACAGGGTAAGCACACAACAAATATTATTTTCACCCTTGTCATCTTATAAATCCCAGTATTACACATAAATGTCAGGAGCAAATAATTTTTTTACAATTGTGTAAGAATCACAGCAAAGGAGGCTATCTTGGACCTCTGAGGAAATGTTATTGTTACAGAGTACACCATTGCAAAAGTAGGAATAGAGGAAGAGAAAGTTGCATACATCCAATGAAAGTTTTGGGGCAAACACTATGTTTGTAACTGCATGGACATGGTACCTCCTGCCTATAATCCCAGCACTTTGGGGGTCTTAGGCAGTAGGATTGCTTGAGGCCAGGAGTTCGAGACCAGCCTGGAGAACATAGAAAACCCTGTTTCTATAAATTTTTATTTTTTAATTATCCGGGCGTGGCGGCTTCGCCTGTGGTCCTAGCTACTTGGTAGGCGGAGGCAGGAGGATCACTTGAGCCTAGGACGTCAAGGCTACAGTGAGCCATGATCACACCACTGCATTCCAACCTGGGCAACGTACGCAGCAAGACCCTGTCTCAAAAAAGAAAAGAAAAAAAAAATTATATCTGAGTTTCATACTAAACAAGCCCCTGATAGATTCCAGAGTAGATGACTGGCTGTCTAATATTCAAGTTTACTTTTTGAAGCACTATTCTGTTTCCTCTCCTCCTTCCATCTTCTCCAACTTTAGAGCCCAAGGATTTTGTGCAGTATCCCTGTCCTAAAGCCTAGTCAATTACTGGAACACTTCTGACTTTCATACCTTTTTCTAATTAGGTTAAAATCTCCACTGTATATTTGTTTACTCAAATTTTACCCTCTCCACCAACTTGCACAAAACATCATATGCAACCAAAAAATGGACATACCATGTAGCCAAAACGTCTTTCTTTTCTTTTTTTTTTTTTTTTGAGACAGTCTTGCCCTGTCACCCAGGCTGGAGTGCAATGGCTCGATCTCGGCTCACTGCAACCTCCACTTGCTGAGTTCAAGCGATTCTCTTGCCTCAGCCTCCAGAGTAGCTGGGATTACAGGTGACCGCCACCATCCCCAGCTAATTTTTGTATTTTTAGTAGAGACGGAGTTTCACTATGTTGGCCAGGGTGGTCTTGAACTCCTGACCTCAGGTGATCCACCTGCCTCAGCCTCCCAAAGGGCTGGGATTACAGGCATGAGCCACTGCAGCCGGCCCAAAGCCACTACTTTTAGAAGTAACAGAAAAAAGAAGGCTGGAGCTCTGATTACATGGTACTGTTCTGAGTACCAAAACTCAGTGATCATTGATGAAATGTAAACTTTTTGTTGTAAGTTTCAAGAAAAGGAAACTGCCCTAAGTGCTTATATTATGATGGTTCTTGTAGTTATTTATTGCTGATTTTGTTTCTATGGAAAAGAAGGGGCGGAGAGATTGGATACAATTAAACAAAGAAAGCTTAGTATTTCAGGCCCTTCAAATTAGAAAGTCAGATTTGAGTCCTGGCCCTGTCACTCATCAGCTGTGTGACCATGGGCATCTAGTTCTTTAACCTTTTCTAGCCTCAGTGTTATCTGTGAAATGCAAACAGGAGTAATATCTAACTCATAGGCTTGCTGTGAGAATGATTAAGGTACGTTAAAATGCTTCGTAAGCTGTTCTTTATAAATATTTGTTATTATTATTATCCTCTACTCCTAGCAACAATTCTAGGTCTCATTCCAAACTAGTCATCTAATTTAAAATTCAGCTTTCTCCCTATTAAAATGCTCTACTGAAATTTTCTTGCTGGTCAAACTGAATAAAGACCACAATGCAACTGAACTGAAAGGTTAGCAGATATTATGTTATCTCTAGGATGCTCTCAATATATGGCACAATTATTCCCCGAGTCCACTTTATTCTAGCTACCTTACTCAAGTACACTCTTGAAAGAAGTTGAAACTATTCATTTATTCACCTCCCCTAAATTAAGGAAAATTCATATAATGCAAATACTTTGTATTTTAGGAGAAGCTTATTTGACAATACTGTACAATTCTCATGTTACTATCAACAATTTCCATTATATCCACTAGTGATTTTCGTTTGACACTCCATAAGCATTATTCATAGTAGGAAGCAAGGAGGAAACCTTTATTAACAGCCAATCCTTATGAAGCTAAGACTTCAAGAAATAAGAAGGAAGGCCAGGCACGGTGGCTCCTGCCTGTAATCCCAGCACTTTGGGATGCTGAGGCGGGCGAATCACAAGGTCAGGAGTTTGAGATCAGCCTGGCCAGTACGGCAAAACCCCGTCTCTACTAAAAATACAAAAATAGCCAGGCGTGGTGGCAGGTGCCTGTAATCCCAGCTACTCGGGAGGCTGAGGCAGGAGAATCGCTTGAACCTGGGAGGCAGAGGTTGTGGTGAGCTGAAATCCTGCTGTTGCACTCCAGCCTAGGTGACAAGAGCAAAACTCTGTCTCAAAAAAAAAAAAAAAAGAAAACAGCATATCAGGCCGGGCGCGGTGGCTCAAGCCTGTAATCCCAGCACTTTGGGAGGCCGAAACGGGCGGATCATGAGGTCAGGAGATCGAGACCATCCTGGCTAATACGGTGAAACCCCGTCTCTACTAAAAAATACAAAAAACTAGCCGGGCGAAGTGGCGGGTGCCTATAGTCCCAGCTACTTGGGAGGCTGAGGCAGGAGAATGGCGTGAACCCGAGAGGAGGAGCTTGCAGTGAGCTGAGATCCGGCCACTGCACTCCAGCCTGGGTGACAGAGCAAGACTCCGTCTCAAAAAAAAAAAAAAAAAAAGAAAACAGCATATCCAATATTTACTGCAGCACTCAGTAGTAGCAAACAACTAGAAACAACCACAATGTCCATCAATGTGAAACTTGTTAAACTAGGATATACATATGCACCCATTAAAAAGAATGAAGTGGCTGGGCACAGTGGCTCATGCCTGTAATCCTAGCACTTTGGAAGGTTGAGGCAGGAGGATCACTTGAGGTCAGGAGTTCAAGACCAGCCTGGACAACATAGCAAGACAAAAAAAAAAAAAAAAAAAAAACTAAAAATAAATTTTAAAACGTAGCCAGGCACAGTGGCACATGCCTATGGCCTCAGCTACTTGGAAGGCTGAAGCGGGAAGATTGCTTAAGCCCAGGAGTTTGAGACTGCAATGAGCTATGATCACACCACTGTACTCCAGGCTGGGCAACAGAGTGAGACCCTATCTTTAAAAAAAAAAAAAAGAAGAAGAAGAATGAAATGGGACTATATACTAGTATGGAAAGAGTTTCAAAAAAGTGAAAAAAGCAAATTACAGAATATATAAAGTATGCTTCCATTTGTATAGGAATGAATACTTGTAATTTCATATACTTGCATATGCATGGAATACTTCACGGTAATAACTTCTAGAAGTAACTGGATGGCTGAGGTGGAAGGATGGAAAAAGGATTTAACCTTTCCAATGTATGTCTTTGTGTATCTTTTGTATTTTGTGCCATATACATATACTACATACCAAAAAAAAAAAAAAAACCTTTATTTTTACATCTTTAGGCTTGATTTTGAATCTACACGGCAATATTAAACTGACCATTTTTAGATTCTACTTATCCACAACTGATAGCTTTAGAAGCACGCTAACACTGAAAGCCCTGTAGATCAGAAAAATATTTTACAATAGTAACACAGCATTTTGAACAAATCAAGAGAAGAGTTTAACACAGAGAAGGTCTTTTGATTTCAACCAAAACTGGTGTTCTAACCTAGTATCAGTCAACTTTGTCTCTGTCTACCTTAGAAAACCAAACTTGATAAACAACATTTATTAAATACTGTATATCTGAACACTGGACTAAGTATATTAGATATTTAATAATTCCTCAGATAAAAATTTATTCATTTCTAATGTTTTGTAATATAATTTTTTATGTAGAGCTTTTTTCCATATTTATTTATTTATTTTTTTAGATAGAGTCTTGCTCTATTGCCCAGGCTGGAGTGCAGTGACACGATCTCGGCTCACTGCAAGCTCCGCCTCCTGGGTTCACGCCATTCTCCTGCCTCAGCCTCCTGAGTAGCTGGGACTACAGGGCCCGCCACCACGCCCGACTAATTTTTTGTATGTTTAGTAGAGACAGGGTTTCATTGTGTTAGCCAGGATGGTCTCGATCTCCTGACCTTGATCCGCCTGCCTCGGCCTCCCAAAGTGCTGGGGTTACAGGCGTGACCCACTGTGCCCGGCCCTTTTTTCCATATTTATTAATATTTAGGATTGTCAGAAATGCAATAACAGAGTCAAAAGATATAAGGAGCCAGGCGCAGTGGCTCACATCTATAATCCCAAAATTTGGGGAGGCCAAGGCAGGAGGATCACTTCAGTTCAAGACTTGAAGACCAGCCTGGGCAACACAGCAAGATCTCATCTCTACTAAAAATAAAACAAATTAGCCTGACATAGTGTCATACCCCTGTAGTACCGCACCCTGTATTATGAGCTACTCAGGAGGCTGAGGCAGGAGGATTGCTTGAGCCCAGGAGTTCAAGGCTGCAGTGACCTATGATTGTGCCACTGCAGTTCAGGCTGACAGAGCAAGACCCTGTCTCCAAAAAAAAAAAAAAACACACAAAGCTTTGTTAAAGACTGGCAAAGTAGTTTTTGTTTTATTTTATTTTGTTTTGAGACGGAGGTCTCGCTCTGTTCCCCAGGGAGTGCACTGGCACAATCTCAGCTCACTGCAGCCTCCACAGCCTCTCAGGATCCAGCAATTCTCCTGCCTCAGCCTCCCGGGTAGCTGGGATTATAGGCACGCACCACCATGCCTGGCTAATTTTTGTATTTTTAGTAGAGATGGGGTTTTACCATATTGGCCAGGCTGGTCTCGAACTCCTGACCTCTGGTGATCCGCCTGCCTTGGCCTCGCAAAGTGCTGGGATTACAAGTGTGAGCCACCATGCCCAGCCAAAGGCTGGCAAGGTTTTTTAAAAAACAATTATTCATTACCAACTACCCCTTTTATCACTGGTGACCTATTTTCCACTGTTTTATTACTTTTCTTCTTTGCTAATTTATACCCAGAGATTGTATTTTAATAAGTGGATTTTCGGTTGTAACCACTCACAGGTTCATCTTTTGTGCCTCATTTTTCCAGTCTGATATGTCATCAGGCCTCCAATTGTTAATGCCATTTTGGAATCCAGTCCAGGAAAATACCTGGCTACAGTTTTGTATGCTCCTCCTAAAACAATTCTGTCACTTCTAACAGAAAGTTATCCATCTTAAAATCCCACTGTACCTTCTCCTAAATGACGTTCAAATAAAAGTTCAATATTCTTCCTTTAGGTGCATCAGAACTAGGTAGATGATCTCCTTCTATCCAACCCACTCTTCTCCCTTTTTTTTTTTTTTTTCAATTCAAGGTTTCTATTTCCTCCAGGAATCTATTCCTGATTCACTCTACTGATCCTCCCAACTAACCCACCCACCAACGTAATTCATGAACTCACTCTTAAGGGATACAGTAGGTTTTACTCAATTTTTGTATTTATTTACTAAACAACGTCTGCATTAAATGGTCAAAGGTTAGGAACTGTTTATATGCTTCCCAGTTACATATAATATACGACACCAAAGTATAATAGTAACTTTCTTTTTTGTTGTTGTTTTTTTTGAGACGGAGTATCGCTCTGTCACCCAGGCTGGAGTGCAGTGGTGCGATCTCGGTTCACTGCAGCCTCAGCCTCCTGGGTTCAAGCAATTCTCCTGCCTCAGCCTCCCGAGTAGCTGGGATTACAGGTGTCAACCACCACGCCCAGCTAATTTTTGTATTTTGGGTAGAGGCAGGGTTTCACCATGTTGGCCAGGCTGGTCTCAAACTCCTGACATCAGGTGATCCACCCACCTCAGTTTCCCGAAGTGCTGCGATTACAGGCGTGAGCCACAGCACCAGGCCATATAGTAGTAACTTTCTAAACTGACTTCCATTTAACCAATTTATGAGAGTAAGTGGAGCTCTCCATTCTCTCAGTAAAATAACACTGAATAATGCCCATGAATAAACTGAACTCTTGAAGCTACTGTGCTACACTCTTTAAGAAACTCTAAGCTGGGTGTGGTAGCTCACGCCTGTAATCCCAACACTTTGAGAGGCCAAGGCAGGTGGATTACTGGAGGTTAGGAGTTCAAGACCAGCCTGGCCAACATGGTGAAACCCCGTCTCTACTAAAAATACAAAGTTAGCTGGGTGTGGTAGTGTGCGCCTGTAATCCTAGCTTTTAGGGAGGGTGAGGCAGGAGAATTGCTTGAACCCAAGAGGCAGAGGTTGCAGTGAGCCGAGATTGTGCCATTGCACTCCAGCCTGGGCAAAAAGAGTGAAACTCTGTCTCAAACACACACACACACACACACACACACACAGAGAGAGATGGGTTTGAATCCCTGCCACACATACACACACACACACACACCCAGAGAGAGATGGGTTTGAATCCCTGCCAAAAACTTAATTCCTCTGTAACCTTAAGGAAATTATTCAAATGTTTCTTCATCTATAAATGAAGTGTTAAACTAGCCGGGCGTGGTGGTGTGTACCTGTAGTCCCACCTGCTCAGGAGGCTGACGCGAGAAGATGACTTGAGCCCAGGAGTAAGCTATGCTCTCACCACCGGGCTCCAGCCTGGGTGACAGAGCAAGACCCCGTCTCAAAAACAAATAAATAGGCTGGGTGCAATGGCTCTCACACCTATAATCCCAGCACTGTGGGAAGTTCTGGCAGGTAGATAGCTTGAGGTCAGGAGTTCGAGTTCAAGACTAGCCTGGTCAACACAATGAGAACTCGTCTCTGCAAAAGCTTAAAATAAAAAAAAAAATCAGCCAGGTTCAGCAGTATACCTATAGTCCCAGCTACTCAGAAGGCTAAGGCAAGAAGCTCACTTGAGCCTAGGACTTCAAGGTTGCAGTAAGCTATGGCCATGCCATTGCACTCCAACCTGGGTGACAGAGCAAGACCTCATCTCTAAATAAATAACGTATTAAAATTAAAATTAAACCTACCCCAAACTTTGAGGGGTGAGGAATACGTTTATGACCTTGATGGTAGTTATGGTTTCAGTGATCTATAGTTATCTCCAAAGTAATCAAGTTGTATATATTAAATATATACAGCTTTTTGTTCAATTATACCTTGATAAAGTGATTTTTAAAATAAACAAAAAATAGGGATAAATTTTTTAAACTTAAATCCACCTCACAGGTTCAAGGATTAAATGACAACTCATGTAAATATTTAGCATGCTGCCTGGCACATAAGTACTCAAGTAAGTATTACGTAGACTGCCAGGAAAAGACATTCCTTGCCAGGCACAGTGGCTTGCACCTGTAATCCCAGCATTTTGGGAGGCCAAGGCAGCAGGATCACATGAGGTCAGGAGTTTGAGACCATCTGGGCAACACAGTGAGACCTCACTTCTTAAAAAAAAAAAAAAATTGGCCAGGCATGGTGGCTCACGCCTGTAATCCCAGCACGTTGGGAGGCCGAGGCAGACAGATTGCCTGAGCTCAGGAGTTTGCGACCGTCCTGGGCAACACGGTGAAACCCCGTCTGTAGGAAAATACAAAAAATTAGCCGGGTGTAGTGGCATGCGCCTGAAGTCCTAACTACTGGGGAGGCTGAGGCAGGAGAATTGTTTGAACCTGGGAGGCGGAGGTTGCAATGAGCTACTGCACTCCAGCCTGGGCAACAGAGCGAGACTCCATCTAAAAAAATTAATAAAAAGACATTTCTATTCTCAGCCCTTACCACTAGGCCAAGTATTGCATATTTACACTTCCAAAACTAGAATATCTTCTAATCGGTCCTTAACCAGAGGTATCAGAATGCCTTAAAGATTTTTGTCAGGCCGGACACAGTGGCTCACACCTATAATCCCAGCACTTTGGGAGGCTGAGGCGGGCGGATCACCTGAGGTCAAGAGTTCAAGACCAGCCTGGCCAACATGGTAAAACCCTGTCTCTACTAAAATTACAAAAAGTAGCCGGGCACGATGGCACGCACCTGTAATCCCAGCTACTGGGGGGACCGAGACAGGAGAATCGCTTGAACCCAGGAGGCAGAGGTTGCAGTGAGCCAAGATTGTACCACTGCACTCCAACCTGGGCAACAGAGCAAGACTCCATCTCAAAAAACAAAAACAAAAAAGGCTGTGTCCCATTGGGTCATGTTCACCAGGTGACAGCTTTAGAAGCCCCTTAACACATACATAATACTTATATTATGTACAAAATTTGTATTTTTATATTGATTTTTATGTTTATATTGTTTATACTTATATTTGGAAAGTTCCCCCAAGTAGCTCTGATGAGAATCGTTGGTAAACAACCACTGCTAAAGATTATTGATCTCTTAATAAAATTACCCAATTATGGGTGTGGTGGCTCACACCCATAATCCCAGAACTTTGGGAGGCTAAGGTGGGCAGATCACCTGAGGTCAGGAGTTCAAGACCAGCCTGGCCACCATAGTGAAACCCCATCTTTACTAAAAATACAAAAATTTGCTGGGGACAGTGGCGTGCACCTGTAATCTCAGCTACTCAGGAGACTGATACAGGAGAATCAAGCCTGCGAGCTGGAGGTTGCAGTGAGCCAAGATCACATTGCACTCAAGCCTGGGCGACAGAGCAAGACCTTGTCTCAAAAAAAAAAAAAAAAATTACCCAATTACTACTCAGATGTTAAAAAATCACTAAAAAGACTTGGGTGGATTAACTTATGAGTTAGCCAAATAACCAAAATAAATTTGATAGAATACTTACAAAAACTACTATATAAGAAGATCCCAGTATGTCCAGGTTTTTCCTATTCAGATATATAGATCTGCAGATGTAAACCAAAAACATAGCACCTCCCACAAGTGTCAGTTCTACTAAAATAAGTATTTCCTGTGTTAAAGAAAACTATAAGGCATACCTAATCAGCATTATTTATTTATTTTATTTATTTATTTTTTTTTTTTGAGACAGATTCTCACTCTGTCGCCCAGATTGGAGTGCAGTGGCACGATCTTGGCTCACTGCAACCTCCGCCTCCCAAGTTCAAGCAAGACTTCTGCCTCAGCCTCCCGATCAGCCTCCCGAGTAGCTGGAACTACAGGAGCGTGCCACCACGCCCAGCTAATTTTTGTAATTTTAGTACAGACAGGGTTTCACCATATTGGCCAGGGTGGTCTCGAACTCCTGACCTTGTGATCCACCCGCCTCGGCCTCCCAAAGTGCTGGGATTACAGGCGTGAGCCACTGCGCCCAGCCAATCAGCATTAAATTTCTAACTTTGCAAAGGCCTTAACAGGTTTAGCTTGGAGACATACGACTTTAATAGGCTTCTTTCAATTTTGGCACTGACATTTTAAGCTAGATAATTCTTGGGGAGGGAGAAGATGGGCATGCAGGTTGTCCTATTCATTGTTAAGATGTTTTAGCAGCATCTACAGGCACTAGATGCCAGTAGAACCCCACCTAGCTGGGCATGGTGGCTCACGCCTGTAATCCCAGCATTTTGGGAGGCCAAGGCAGGTGGATCACAAGGTCAGGAGTTCAAGAACCCCACCTGATTCTAGTCGTGACAACCAAAATGTGTCCAGACATCAACAAGTGTTCTCTGGGGAAATGGGGGTGGGGAGAGATCATCACTCCTCTTTGAGAACCACTGCTCTAGTGGATGTTTTTTCCTGGCTCTTTTATGGCAGTTTCTCTATTTTCTGAGCTAGTGAGCCATCTCCATTTCTTCACAGGGGACAATGAGAATAGACCCCAAAAAGAACTGGCTGCTGCTTTTTATTGCAAAGAGAAGCAATGAAATTCAGCAACACATTGGTAGAACCGGATTTGAATTCCCATTCAAAAACTTACCAGCAGTGTTGTCTTGAGCATGTCACTTAACCTCTCCAAGTCTGTTTCCTCATCTGCAAAATGGGAATAATAATATCTACTTTGCAGAGCTGCCATATCAGAGATCATTTAAGTAAAAATGTACTATGCCTGAAACTTAGTAGGAATGCAATAAATTATAGCTATTACTATAAATGTTGATAACATTAGAGGATATTGTATCCCCTTTGCAATGCTTTTATTAGTACTCCAACTTTATTGTACATTAGAATCACCTGTGATACTTGTTAAGCCATTGAAGACGCCCAGATCCCACCCTCAGAAAGGTCCAGAAACAATGCTGAGAAAAATTGGCTGAATTTTTTACATTATACTTGACTGCTGTATTTTCTCTCTGTTGTAAAACTCTGCAGCATTTGAAGACAGAAGAAAAAGAGAAATTCATAAAACAATCATGTAAAATATGTGTCATATAGAACAAAAACTACTTTAAAATAATGGTGTTTTGACAGTTTATTTTGAAGGTCATTTTAAAAACAAAGTTAAAGACAATCTGAGAAAAAATTGCACAGAATACACTCATTAAATAGGTATGGTTTATGGTGATTAAATCAAAATAAGGGAAATATGTTCTCTTCTGCAATTCCAGAAATAGGTTCTGTTGTCCGGAAGGTTCTTATACATCCAAAAAGGGGGGATAATCATGGCAATTAAAGCTGCCTCTTAATCATGTAAATCTACAGTAGCAACTAAATTTTTCTGTTCTTCCCATTAAGTCAGTTTCGATCTTCAAACTGTGCCTTGTTTTTTAAAAGATAAGATGCTAGAAATTCAATGGGATTTGGTGGTCTGTAAGGGAAAAGAAATCCAAAGTTTAGAAATATATTTCCTAGATGTGTTAATTTAAACATATTGTTCCATAATGAAAACTCATCTTTTTAAGTTTAATTTTCATTTCACAGTCAAAGGACATTTGTAGTAAATAAAATAAATGAGATAAGCAAGCAAATTAATTAGCCAACAAAATAGTTTAATGAGACTGAAATTTTTGTATGGCTTAAATCTAGTTATGAACTCAATTTTAAAACATGTTTAAAAAATGTATTGACAATGGGATGATCATTACCCCAGAGAGAATAATGACTTGAAGGGGTCACATGGATGGCTTCTGAGATGCTGGCAGTATTCAGTTTCTTGATCTGACTGCAAGCTACACAGGTATGTTTAGTTTGTGAAAATTCATCAAGCTGTATACCTATGATATGTGTAATATTCTGTGTAATATCCTTCAATAAAAGAACAAAAATAATATAGGACAGTGGATGTAGCATCACTAAGACATGTAGATGAACTCAAGTGACTAGTCAAAGAAGCAACACTAATACAGATAAGTAGGTTATGTTTCTTTTCTAAAAGCTACTTCTTTCTTTCTTCAAATACTTAAATAATTCTAATACTATTTAATACAACTACAGTGCACCTAAGAAGATAAACACATTTATAAAACTAAGAGGAGATATTTCATATTAACACTTCTTTTTTTTTTTTTTTAGATGGAGTCTCGTTCTGTCACCCAGGCTGGGATGCAGTGGCCGGATCTCAGCTCACTGCAAGCTCCGCCTCCTGGGTTCACGCCATTCTCCTGTCTCAGCCTCCCGAGTAGCTGGGACTACAGGCACCTGCCACCTCGCCCGGCTAGTTTTTTGTATTTTTTAGTAGAGACGGGGTTTCACCGTGTTAGCCAGATGGTCTCGATCTCCTGACCTCGTGATCCGCCCGTCTTGGCCTCCCAAAGTGCTGGGATTACAGGCTTGAGCCACCGCACCCGGCCCATATTAACACTTCTATGTAAATTATTCTTGCTGAGAATACAAGTCCAAAGATGAAAAACTGGGGAGACATCTATTTTCAACTCTACTATGAAAAGGCATATTGAAAATGTGTTTACAATAATCTCAAAACATTCCCAGAGCACTTTAAACAGCCCTAAGAGCTGTCTACAAATAGACAAGATTTTTCACGTAGTATTTAGGGTTCACATGATGAATTATTTTACCAGAACTCTTTACTTAAAAAATGTATTTGGGGCCAAGCGCAGTGGCTCATGCCTGTAATCCCAGCACTTTGGGAAGCCGAGGCGGGTGGATCACGAGGTCAGGAGTTTGAGACAATCCTGACCAACATGGTGAAACTCCGTCTCTACTAAAAATACAAAAATTAGCCGGTCATGGTGGTGCGCACCTGTAATCCCAGCTACTCAGGAGGTTGAGGCAGGAGAATCACTTGAACCCGGGAGGTGGAGGTTGCAGTGAGCCGAGATCGCACCACTGCGCTCCAGCCTGGGCAACAGAGCAAGACTCTGTCTCAAAAAAAAACAAAAACAAACAAAAAAAAACACACACAATGTATTTGGCCGGGTACAGCGGTGGCTCACACCTGTAATCCTGGCACTTTAGGCGGTCAAGGCGGGCAGATCACAAGGTCAGGAGTTCGAGACCAGCCTGGCCACCATGGTGAAACCCTGTCTCCACTAAAAATACAAAAAATTAGCCGGGCATTGTGGTGCATGCCTGTAGTCCCAGCTACTAGGGAGGATGAGGCATGAGAATCACTTGAACCCCAAAGACAGAGGTTGCAGTGAGCCAAGATCAAGCCATAGCACTCCAGCCTGCCGCAACAGAACAAGACTCCATCTTGAAACAAAAACATACTTGGGCTGGGCATGGTGGCTCACGCTCATAATCCTCACACTTTGGAAGGCCAAGGCGGGCAGACAGCTTGAGCCCAAGAGTTCAGAATCAACCTGGGCAACATGACGAAACCCTGTCTCTACAGAAAATACAAAAAATCAGCCAGGCATGGTGGCACACACCTATAGTCACAGCTACTCAGGAGCATTAGGTGGAAAGATCGCTTGAGCTTGGGAGTTTGAGGCTGCAGTAAGGCATGATTGTCCCCACTGTATTCCAGCTGGGGCAACAGAACAAGACTCCATGTCAAAAAAAAGATTTACTGGCCAGGTGCAGTAGCTCATGCCTGTAATCCCAGGATTTTGGGAGTCCAAGGAGGATCACTTCCAAGCCTGGGCAAGATAGTAAGACCCCAACTCTTCAAAAAAGCTTAAAAATTAGCCTGGCATAGTGGCACACGCCTGTAGTCCCACCTACTCAGGAGGCGGAGGTGAGAGGATTGCTTAAGCCCAGAAGGCTGAGGCTGCAGTGAGTGGTGATCTCGGCAATGCACTTCAGCCTGGATGACAGAGCGAGACCCTGTCTCAAAAAAATTAACAATAAAAGAAAAAATTTTAATGTATTTAGGAGCTTGAACTTAAAAATTTCTTCAAATGTTTTTCTAGCATTTAAAGTAATATTTGGAGGCCAGGCGTAATGGTTCATGCCTGTAATCCCAACACTTTGGGAGGCCGAGGCAGGTGGATCACCTGAAGTCAGGAGTTCCAGACCAGCCTGATCAACATGGTAAAACCACATCTCTACTAAAAATACAAAAATTAGCCAGGCGTGATGGCAGGCGCCGGTAGTTCTAGCTACTCTGGAGGCTGAGGCAGAAGAATTGCTTGAACCCAGGAGGCAGAGGTTGCAGTGAGCCAACATTGTGCCACTGCACTCCAGCCTGGGCAACCTAGCAAGACTCTGTCTCAAAAAATAAATAAATACAGTAATATTTTAAATTTCTAATATATTAGTCTTCCCTAGAGGAAAAGCAAAAAAATAGAAAAGATACCTTTTTTTTTTCCTTTTTTGCCTTTTTTTTTTTTTTTTTTAAGACTAGTCAAGTGCAGTAGCGAGAAGGCAGGGAAGGAGTAGAATAGGGGAATAAGGGCCAGGCGCGGTGGCTCACGCCTATAATCCCAGCAGTTTGGGAGGCCAATGAGGGCAGATCACCTGGGGTCAGGAGTTAGAGACCAGCCTGGCCAACATGGTGAAACCCCGTCTCTACTAATACAAAAGAGTAGAGTACTGACTAATACAAAAATTAGTCACGTGTGGTGGCACACACCTGTAGTCCCAGCTATTCGGGAGGCTGAGGCAGGAAAATCATTTGAACTGGGAATCAGAGACTGCAGTGACCTGAGATTGTGCCACTGCATTCAAGCCTGGGCAACAAAGACTCTGTCTCAAAAAAAACAAAAAACAAAAAAAAAACAGGCTAGGCGCAGTGGATCACCTGAGGTCAGGAGTTCGAGACCAGCCTGGCCAACATGGTGAAACCCCATCTCTACTAAAACTACAAAAATTAGCTGGGTGTGCTGACAGGCACCTGTAATCCCAGCTACTCAGGAGGCTGAGGCAAGAGAAATGCTTGAACCCAGGAGGTGGAGGTTGCAGTGACCTGAGATCATGCCACTGCATTCCAGCCCTGGGTGACAAGTACAAAACTCTGTCTCAAAAAAAAAAAAAAAAAAAAGTAGTAGAATAAGGAGCTTGATCTGTAAGACTATCAACAATGAAGTTAACTCACTACCTTCAGACCAGCCAAGACACCCATATTTTAATTGTTGATAGTAGAGCCAAGATATAGCTCACAGTCATAAATAAATAGTAATTTACAAATATAGCCACCAAAAACAAATATTTACTGCTCATTCATATAATTTTTATATAAACAAATTATTCTAAGTTAATAACTCACTTTTACTATAAGAAAAGATATATTTCCTTTTTTTTTTTTTTTTCTGAGGCAGGGTCTCACTCTGTCACCCAGGCTGGAGTGCAGTGGTGCGATCACAGCTCACTGCAGCCTCAAACTCCTGGGCCCAAGCCCAAGCGATCCTCCCAGCTCGACCTCCCAAGCAGTGCGGGTTAAGGCATACACCACCACACCTGGCTGAGATGAGACATAGTTCCATCAAGTTCTTTATCAAGTTATGTCAGTTTGCTATTATAATGTTTATTATTATTCTTTGAATAAAACAGAATATGCACCTAATAAATGTTGACTAATCTAACTTGCAAAACCAATTTTCTTATTAGATTTGCTTACACAAAAAAGAATTTAGATGAGAAATACTGGGGAAAATATGTTAAAGAAAGAGAAATAATTGTACTCTTACTACTAAGAAAATTTAAGGCCAGGCTCAGTGGCTCACTCCTGTAATCCCAGCACTTTGGGAGGCCGAGATGGGCAGATCACAAGGTCAAAAGATCGAGATCATTCTGGCCAACACAGTGAAATTCCATCACTGCTAAAAATATAAAACCTAACCAGGCGTGGTACTGGGTGCCTGAGCTGCTCAGGAAGCTAAGGCAGAATCGCTTGAACCCATGAGGTGGAGGTTGCAGTGAGCCAAGATCACGCCATGGCACTCCAGCCTGGCGATAGAGCGAGACTCCAAACCCTGTCTCTACTAAAAATACAATAACCAGCCAGGCATGGTGGCAGGTGCCTGTAATCCCAGCTACTCGGGAGACTGAGGTAGGAGAATCGCTTGAATCCGGCGAGGTGGAAGTTGCAGTGAGCCAGGGTTGCACCACTGCACTCCAGCCAGGGACAGAGAGCAAGATTCTATCTCAAAAAATAATAATAATAGGCCAGGCGCAGTGGCTCATGCCTGTAATGCCAGCACTTTGGGAGGCTGAGGCGGGCAGATCACTTGAGGTCAGGAGTTCAAGACCAGCCTGGCCAACATGGTGAAACTCCATCTTTACGAAAAATAAAAAAATTAGCCAGGCACAGTGGCACACACCTGTAGTCCCAGCTACCCAGGAGGCTGAGACACAAGAATCACTTGAAACCAGGAGGCACAGGTTGCAGTGAACAGAGATCACACCACTGTACTCCAGCCTGGGCAACAGAGTAAGACTCTGTCTCAAAATAACAATAATAATAAAAAATTATAATCATGAAGACTATGGAGAGACATAGAAAAATGTTATATCACAATAAGTAAAAAGAAGATTCAAAATTACATGTATATCATGATCACAAATCTTTACAAATATGCATATGATCTAAGAATGGTGGGAAAAAATTTAAATGTCTGAATTATGAGATTATGGCTGAGTACTTTCTTAAAAACTTTAACATCCATAAATCACACAAAAAAGTTGCTATACATAACTAATGATATTTCACATAGGGGAATCTATTTTGCTTTCTTTACTAACTCCATTTGTGGACACAATTATCTTACCTTTCCTTTGCAAGCACAGCAAGTCCCTGTAATAAGATAGGCACAACTGTCTGATCCAGGTAGGCACGAGTTGGCAAAGACTGGAGATCTACCTTCTGCTTTGATGACTTTTCTGCATTAATCTTCTCATTTTCTACTATCCTCTAGTGAATTCAAAAAAAAGTACATGAACATTTCAAATAAATGTTATTTTGAGTGCTAAACAAAACTAATGGAAATATGACACTAATAGAAAAGACAAATCAATGACTAGAAAGATGGTACTAGACCACAAACTTCTCTGCCCAAAATAAATTCAGACCCATCTTTCAATCTCATTCAAGCTCTTTCTCTCCAAAAGCACCACATTATCTCATTCTTCTAATGTCATGTCTCAAGATCCTACTCTTTCTCCCTTTCCTTCTGACTTTGTAGGAGTAAACACAAATCCTTTTTTCTCTTTTTCATGTAAGTATCTTCTTAGAGTGTGTTCCCAAAAAAAACTGGACGTGACACCAAACAGCACCAAATCATAGTAAGAAAGCTGGTCACAGCAGAGACAGCAAGCTTCAGGGTCCAAGGCTTATACACTCAAGAGAATAGAGCTAAAATTTATTACCATTGTCTTATATTCACTGTTGTCATTTTTATGGTTACCCTCTACTTATCACGATGAGAATGCTTTTCCCTTTATGTTTATTTTTTAAAGAAATACATCCAGCCTTTACCAAACTGCAAAATCCAGTCTTTACCAAAAATACAAAAATCAGGCCGGGCATGGGGGATCACGCCTGTAATCCCAGCACTTTGGGAGGCCAAGGTGGGCAGATCACGAGATCAGGACATCGAGACCATCCTGGCTAACACGGTGAAACCCCATCTCTACTAAAAATACAAAAAATTAGCCGGGCGTAGTGGCAGGCGCCTGTAGTCCCAGCTACTCAGGAGGCTGAGGCGGGAGAATGGCGTGAACCCGGGAGGCGGAGCTTGCAGTGAGCCGAGATCACGCCATTTCACTCCAGCCTGGGTGACAGAGTGAGACTCCATCTCAAAAAAAAACAAAAATTGAGCCAGGCGTGGTAGTGCGTGTCTGTAGCCCCAGCTACTCAGGAGCCTGGGGTGGGAGGATCACTTGAGCCCTAGAGGTGGAGGTTGCAGTGAGACGAGATCATGCCACTGCACTCCAGCCTGATCGACAAAGCAAGGCCGTGTCTCTGCATAAACAAATAAATAAATCCATGATTTTAAAAAATGAACAGGTTTAAGAAAATACATTATGTAAATAACAACCCCAAAATGAAGCAAATTATTAACAAAAAAATCATTCGTGTCACATTTAAATGAATGAAGTTTTCCCCATTCAGACAGGTAACACTAAAAACCAATTATTAATTATAATTAAAAATAAATGAAGTTTAAAAAATAATATTTTCTTCTTCACAACCCTCAAATTTTGGAGCTATCAAATAAATTCGGGCTAACATTCAGAGCATTAAAAAGTAACTTATTGCCTCCATCACTCACATTTTTAAAACTAATGTATTAAAATATTTTGTGGCCTGCGCGGTGGCTGACACCTGTAATCCCAGCACTTTCGAAGGCCAAGGCAGGCCGACCACGACTCAGGAGTTCAAGACAGCCTGACCAATATGGCGAAACCCCGTCTCTACTAATAATACAAAAATTAGCCGGGCGTGGTAGTGGGCACCTGTACTCCCAGTTACTCGGGAGGCTGAGGCAGAAGAATCGCTTGAACCCGGGAGGTGAAGTTTGCAATGAGCCAAGATCACACCACTGCACTCCAGCATGGGCGATAGAGAAAGACTCCGTCTCAAAAAAATAAAATAAAAAAAGAACTAGACAGGCATGGTGGTGCACACCTGTAATCCCAGCTACTTAGGAAGCTGAAGCAAGAAAATCACTTGTACCCGGGAGGCAGAGGTTGCAGTGAGTTGAGGTCATGCCACTGCACTGCAGCCTGGGTAACACAGCAAGATTCCGTCTCAAAAAGGGAAAAAAAAAGGCCAGGCACAGTGGCTCATGCCTGTAATCCCAGCACTTGGGGAGGCCCAGGCAGGTGGATCACGCGGTCAGGAGTTCAACACCAGCATGACCAAGATGGTGAAACCCCGTCTCTACTAAAAATACAAAAATTAGCCAGGTGTAGTAGTGCGCGCCTGTAATACCAGCTACTCAGGACACTTGAACCCGGGAGGCGGAGCTTGCAGTGAGCTGAGATCGGGCCATTGCACTCCAGCCTGGGCGACAGAGTGGGACTCCGTCTCCAAAAAAAAAAGTTGCTTTTTAAAAAAAATTTTAGATATTTAAAATGGTGGCTGGATGTGGTAGCTCACGGCTGTATTACCAGCACTTTGGGAGGCCGAAGCAGGGGGATCGGCTGAGTCCAGGAGCTCAAGACCAGCCTGACCAACATGGTAAAACCCCATCTCTACTAAAATTACAAAATTAGCCAGGCGTGGTGGTGCACACCTGTAATTCCAGCTACTTGAAAGGCTGAGGCAAGAGAATCGCTCGATCCTGGGAGGTGGAGGTTGCAGTGAGCCAAGACTGCACCACTGCACTCCAGCCTGGGTGACAGAGCAAGACTCCATCTCAAAACAATAAAAAAAATAAAAATGAAAGAGACAAAAAAATAAAATAAAATAAATAAGAAATGGCTGTAAAAAGACAAAACAGTATTCCTAAGAGCACTTTCATTTAAATGAACTTTTGCTTCAATCATACTCAAACTAGATATAAAAGAGTCGACAAAGAAAACTTTTTCTACTTTTAATTTTATTTTGGTAAAAGTGAGAAAAAACCTTTAATCACATTATCTGTAACATATATAGCATGGTTTCCAAAGACACTTCCCATAACTATGTCAGAAAACTTCTGCTTATGATTTTTCAATCTAATTTTGGAATTAAAAGATAATTTTCTATTAAATACAAAGTTTTTTAATCTATAAAATACTATTTATTTGTCCATGGACTGAAAATTTTATTTTTCATTAGTAAATTTCAACAGATAATTGGCACACCATCACTTCAGAAATTCTAACTAAGCCTTTGTAAAAGTCACCTTTCCATTGCAGAAAAGACTATACAACTTCATTATTTCTGAAAACTGACAGTATCATCTTAAATGAATTTTCATCCCCTAAATCAAAATCCACTATGTTCAAAACTTCACGTTGATCACAACAAAGACAATGCGGCAAACTTCAAAATCTCACAGTGTATTTCCTAAAAACAGTCCTAACTTCCAGTCACAGTATACGTATACAATAAAAACTACTCGGGACCAGGCGCAGTGGCTCACATCTGTAATCCCAGTACTTTGGGAAGCCAAGGCAGGAGTCTGAGAGCAGGAGCTTGAGCGTAGGAGTTTGAAACCAGCTTGAGCAACATAGTGAGACCCTGTTACTATTTTTTAGAAAATAATTTTAGGCCGGACACAGCGGTTCACGCCTGTAATCCCAGCACTTTAGGAGGCCGAAGCAGGTGGATCACAAGGTCAGGAGTTTGAGACCAGCCTGACCAACATGGTGTAACCCCGCCTCTATTAAAAATACAAAAATTAACCAGGCGTGGTGGCATGTACCTGTAATCCCAGGACTCAGGAGGCTGAGGCAGGAGAATCGCCTGTCCAGCCAGGGCGACAGAGCAAGGCTCCATCTCAAAAAAAGAAAAAAATATTTTAACTTGTGAGTTACATGACATTATAATGCCTACAATAAGAAAGCCAATAAGAAAGAGCAGTGCGGCTGGCTGTGGTGACTCACGCCTGTAATCCCAATACTTTGGGAGGCCAAGGCAGGCAGATCACCTGAGGTCAGGAGTTCAAGAACAACCTGGTCAACATGGAGAAAACGCAACTCTATTAAAAATACAAAACAAGCAGGGTGTGGTGGCACATGCCTGTAATCCCAGCTACTTGGGAGGCCAAGGCAGCAGAATCACTTGAACGTGGGAGGCGGAGGTTATGGTGAGCCAAGACCGCGCCATTGCACTCCAGCCCAGGCAACAAGAGCAAAACTCCGTCTCAAAAAAAAAAGAGCAATGCCTAAGCAACTCCTATAACTCCTGTAATAAATTTCTTAACCAAATCCTCCCATTTATTTCATTTGAACATTTACGAATTATCTACTATGTGCCAATTGTGATGCTCAATTTCACTTAAGTCAAAATCTTGAACTAATCTAAAAATAGATATATCCAAACTACCACAAACAAACAATGAGCTGGTAAGATAGTGTAGAACAGTGATCACAAAAAGGGAAGAAATGAGGTAAGTACTATGACTGTCCCAGCTTCCTGCTTTCTGCCTGGAGAACTTACAGGATGCAGTATAGGGAGAGAGAATGTGAACAGAGCCTAGTAGTCTCCCTGAGTTGAGAAGACAGAGTTGAAAATTCTGGGAGACCAAAACAACTAAAATTTGCAAGGCAGAGCACTGAAGAGAAGAAAGGTGAGTGGAGACAAGAACTGCACAGAAAAAGACTAAAGATATTGCCTTCCAGTCTTCAGGTGAATGCTTATCAATAGATGGTTATAAGTCAACTACCCAAGGCCAGGGAAATAACTATCTTGTGTTAGTCCATTTGCATTGCTATAAAGAAATACCTGAGGGTGGGTAATTTATAAAGAAGAGAGGTTTATTTGGCCACAGTTCTGCAAGCTACACAAGCATGGCACCAGCATCTGCTTCTGGTGAGGGCTTCAGGGAGCAATGAATCGTGACAGAGACGGAAGGGGAACTGGTGTGTCACATAACGAGAGGGAGCAAGAGAGAAAGGAGTAGGTGCCAGGCTCTTTAACAATCAGATCTCATGGTAACTAATAGAGTAAGAACTGACTCATTACCAAAAGATGGCACCATGCCAGTCATGAGGGATCTGCCCCCATGACCCAAACACCTCCCACTAGGCCCCACTTCCAACACTGGGGGTCACATTTCAACATGAGACTTGGAAGGGACAAATATCTAAACTATATTACACCAGGAGGAACAACCTTGCAGCTCACACAGGCTGGAAACAGTTTGTGTTCCAGTGACACAGGGGGAGAAAATCTCATAATACGCCAGCTGTGGTGGCTCACACATGTAATCCCAGCACTTTGGGAGGCCAAGGCAGGTGGATCACCTTAGGTCAGGAGTTTGAGACCATCCTGGCCAACGCGGTAAAACCCCGTCTCTACTGAAAATACAAAAATTAGGCAGGCATGGTGGCACATGCTGGTAATTCCAGCTACTCGGGAGGCTGAGGCAGGAGAATCACTTGAACCCAGGAGGTGGAGGTTGCACTGACCCAAGATTGCGCCACTTCCAGCCTAGGCGACAAGAGCAAAACTCCATCTCAAAAAATAAAAATTAAAAAAAGGTGAAACGCTTGCACCCGGGGGGCAGAGGTTGCAGAGAGCCGAGACCGCGCCACTACACTCCAGCCCGAGCGACAGAGCGAGACTCTATCTCAAAAAAAAAAAAAAATTATAATGTATTCCCGCCGGACGTGGTGGCACACACCTCTAGTCCCAACTATTCAGGAGGCTGAGGTGGGAGGATCACTTAAGACCAGGAGTTTGAGACTACAGTGAGCTATGATCATGCCACTGTATCCCAGCCTGGGTGAAAGAGCAAGACTCGGTCTTAATGTAACAAACCTACACGTTGTGCACATGTACCCTAGAACTTAAAGTATAATAATTAAAAAAAAAAAAAGGAAAAAAAAAAAGACTCGGTCTTAAAAACAAACAAATAAATAAATAAATACATTTGGCCGGGAACAGTGGCTCACGCCTGTAATCCCAGCACTTTGGGAGGCTCAGGCGGGTGGATCACGAGGTCAGGAGATCAAGACCATCCTGGCCAACATAGTGAAACCTCACCTCTACTAAAATACAAAAAATTAGCCAGGCGTGGTGGCTCCCAGCTACTTGGGAAGCTGAGGCAGGGGAATCGCTTGAACCCGGGAGGCGGAGATTGTAGTGAGCCGAGATTGCGCCACTGCACACCAGCCTGGCGACAGAGCAAGACTTTGTCTCATTAAAAGAAAAAAAAAAAAAAACCATGTATAATATATTCTATATGTTCACAACAGAAAAAAGCATAAGTAGGCCAGATGCAGTGGCTCACACCTGTAATCCCAGCACTTTGGGAGGCTGAGGCGGGCAGATCACTTAAGGTCAGCAGTTTGAGACCAGCCTGACCAACAGAGTGAAACCCCGCCTCAACTAAAAATACAAAAATTAGCTGGGCATGGTAGTGGGTGCCTGTAATCCCAGCTACTTAGGAGGCTGAGACATGAGAATCACTTCAACCCGGGAGGCAGAGGTTACACTAAGCCGAGATCGCGCCATTGCACTCCAACCTGGAGATAGAGCAAGACTCAGCCTCGAGAAAAAAAAAAGAAAAAGAAAAAAAGTTAGGTAAACTGGTCTTTTTTTTTCTTCTTTTTTTTTTTTTTGAGACAGCGTCTCACTCTGTCACCCACCCTGCAGTGCATTGGCATGATCTTGGTTCACTCCAGCCTTGGCCTCCCAGGCTCAAGCAATCCTCCCACCTCAATCTCCTGAGTAGCTGGGACTATAGGCACGCACTTTTCTTTTTTCTTTTTTTTTTTTTTAGATGGGGTCTCACTATGTTGCCCAGGCTGGTCTTAAACTCCTAGATTCTAGGAATCCTCCCACCGTGGCCTCCCAAAGGGCTGGGATTACAGGCATGAGTCACGTCCCATGATGGCAAAATATTTTTTTTAAATAATGGCTGAAATTCTTCCAAATTTGATGAAAATTCTAAACCACAGATCCAAGAAGCTCAATGAATCCTAAGCAGAAGCATTAAAAGAAAAACACTGGCCGAGCACGGCGGCTCACACCTGTAATCCCAGCACTTTGGGAGGCCGAGGTTGGCGGATCACGAGGTCAGGCGATCGAGACCATCCTGGCTAACACAGTAAAACCTCCTCTACTAAAAATACAAAGAAAATTAGCTGGGCGTGCCTGTAGTCCCACCTACTTGGGAGGCTGAGGCAGGAGAATGGTGTGAACCCAGGAGGCAGTGTTTGCAGTGAGCCGAGACCACACCACTGCACTCCAGCCTGGGCGACAGAGTGAGACTCCATCACAAAAAAAAAAAGAAAAGAAAAGAAAAGAAAAAAACTACACCAAGACACACCACAACCAAATAACTTTAAAACACTGATATAAAGAAAATCTCAAAAGTAGCAAGAAGACATTATTGAGGAGCAAAGATAGGAACGATAGCAAGCTTCTTTTCAGAAACAATGTCTGCCAGAAGACCGTGAAGCAATCTACAACTAGCAAAAATAGCTTCTAAAAACAAGGGCAAAATAATGACTTTTTCAGACATTCAGAAGCTGAAAGAATTTCTTACCAGCAGAAGTGAACTACAAGAAATGTTCAAGGAAGCCCTTTGGGCAGGAAGAAAATGATACCTTTTGGAAAGATGGAAATCTAGACCTACACAAAAGAATGAAGATCTCCAGAAACAGTCAATATGTGGATAAATGTAAAATTCTCCTTTTTTTGTACTGTTTAAGTATCTTTAAAGTGACTTTTTTTTTGCTTTTGAGACGAGGTTTTGCTCTCTCACTCAGGATGGTGTGCACTGGTGCAATTAGGGCTCACTGCAGCTTCGGCCTCCTGGGCTCAAGTGATCCTCCTGCTTCAGTCTCCCAAGTAGCTGGGACTGTAGGCACCTACCGTCACACTCAGCTAATTTTTCTTTCTTTTTTTTTTTTTGTAGAGACAGGGTTTGTAGGCTGGTTTCAAACTCCTGAGCTGAAGCGGTTTACCAGCCACCATGCCCAGCCAACTTTTTTATTTTTGAGATGGAGTCTCACTCTGTCGCCCAGGCTGGAGTACAGTGGCACGATCTCAGCTCACTGCAACTCTGCCCCCGGGGTTCAAACAATTCTCCTGCCTCAGCCTCCTGAGTAGCTGGGATTACAGGGGCTCGCCACCACGCCTGGCTAATTTTTGTATTTTTAGTAGAGATGGGCTTTCACCATGTTGGCCAGGCTTGAAATCCTCACCTCAAGTGATCCACCCACCTCAGACTCCCAAAGTGCTGGGATTACAGGTGTGAGCCACCATACCTGGACTGTATGCTTTATTAAAAAACAAGACGTGTGATTCAGTTTGGATAAATGAGAATAAAAGCATTGCTAACCACAGTAATAATAGTAATAGCTGTTAATATTTTTTCTAGCCTTGGCCAGGCACGATGGCTCACACCTATAATCCCAGCACTTTGGGAGGCCAAGGCGGGCGGATCACGAGGTCAAGAGATAGAGACCATCTGGCTAACACAGTGAAACCCTGTCTCTACTAAAAAAAAATACAAAAAATTAGCCAGGCATGGTGGTGGGTACCTGTAGTCCCAGCTACTTGGGAGGCTGAGGCAGGAGAATGGTGTGAACCCGGGAGGCGGGGCTTGCAGGGAGCCGAGATCTTGCCACTGCACTCCAGCCTGGGCAACAGAGTGAGACTCCGTTTCAAAAAAAAAACAAAACAAAACAAAAACAAAACAAAAAATTTCTAATATTTTACTATGTGCCACACACACTCTTAAGCAATTTGCCTGTATCTTCAGCCCCATAAGGCTCAGAGAAGTTCAGTAACTTGTTCAAGGTCACCAGAAAGTATGTTGGGAACCGTATTTTCAACCTAGGCAGGTTGACATTTTTGCAGTAGAATTAAGTTGTATTAATTTTTTTTTTTTTAAGACAAAATCTCGCTCTGTCGCCCAGGATGCAGTACAGTGGCATGATCTCGGGTTCAAGCGATTCGTGATTCTCCTGCCTCAGCCTTCCGAGTAGCTGGGATTAGTAGAGACGAGGTTTCACCATGTTGGCCAGGCTGGTCTGGAACTCCTGACCTCAGGTAATCAGCTCGCACTGGCCCTTAAAGTGCTGGGATTACAGGGGTAAACCACTGCGTCCGGCCTTATTTTTTGGGGGGGGCGGGGAGAAGGGAAGAGGGACAGGGTCACGTGCTGACACCCAGGCTGGAGTGCAGTGGTGTGATCATAGCTCACTGCAGCCTCGACCTCCCCAGCTCCAGCAATCCTCTCACTTCAGCCCAGGAGTTACTGAACTCTAAAAAGAAATAAATACTTATTAAATGTTGACTCCTCCAGCACACTATTCTGCTACAAAGACCAACAGATTTCCTAATTTTATTTTTTACTTTTTTTTCTTTTTTTTGAGACGGAGTCTCACTCTGTCGCCCAGGCTGTAGTGCAGTGGCGCGATCTCAGCTCACTGCAACCTCAGTTTTCCAGATTCAAGCGATTCTCTGGCCTCAGCCACCCGAATAGCTGGGATTACAGCCATCCACATTCATGCCTGGCTACTGGCTAATTTTTGTATTTTTAGTAGAGACGGGGTTTCACCACGCTGGTCAGGCTGGTTTGGAACTCCTGATCTCAGGTGATCCACCAGCCTTAGCCTCCCAAAGTGCTGGGATTACAGGCGTGGGCCACCGTGCCCAACGAAGGGTTTCTTAATTTTAATATGCGATTTTTACGTAGCAACATCCCAAAAGATGGATTAAAAGCCACCAAGCAAAATGATTTAGACAGTATCCCTCAAGAATGTGTTTCGTAATAAAAATTCAATCCTTTGGCTCAAACCTAATTTGTATGTCTGCACACCAAGAAGCATTAGTACTAATAAAACAAGCTACCCATAACTTGATACCATTCAGTTCACGATAACAAAGTTTTCCCTTGTGCATAGTAACCTAGTAAAAGCAGATTCCAAGTTTTCTCCAGCTCGCAAGAGACAACACAGATGAGGCATAGGAACTGAGCGAGTTACCTCAACGTTGTCTGTGAGACCATACTCAGAGTGAGGATTTTCTGCAACCTAGAAAACAAAACACCGGTCACAGAGATAAAAGTCCCCCCTTTCTCGCTGCCTCCCTGAACACTGCCACCCTGAATTCAGGGCCTCCTGATACCTGCGTTTGTCCCTCCAGCATCTGCTCCGGCTCCATGGCGGACCCTGCAAGTCACAGTCCCCGGATACCAGTCTTGGAAAACAAGAAGAGCCGCGAGTTACCTGGGAGATTTCAACACGAAGACGCCAGGATGGAGTGCAGCCCAGCCCCCGACCCCGCCCCTCACCCCCACCTGGGCGCGGGAGCACCCCGAGCAGTAGAGCGGCAGAGTGGGACAGTCCACAACTGGGCGCCTACGTGGGGTCTGGAAACTCTACGACAGTTCCAAGTACCTAGAATGAGTGAGAAACTGGGGGAAAGGAAGCTGATTACCCGCGCCCAAGCCGTTCGTTCTTATGAACCCTGCACCGCGCCACCAACTCCCAGCACCAACAGCTCCGGCCGTAAGTGACGGCTGTCGCACGATTGCCGCGCCTGCGCAGAACCTCCCGGCGGACAGGAGGCTGGGAGGCGGGCAGACGCGTGCTGAGTCCCTGAGGCTCTCTGCAGTCCGCGTGAGCCCTGGCCAAGGTCAGGCCTCGGAAGCTACGAGCTACAATCTTTCTTCATTCTTCCTACCCACGAAGAGCGCCAGCCCAGTTGGAAGGGGCTCTGCCGGATCAAACCTCGGTGCTGCCTCAGAGCATCTGCTGAAGCTCTTCTTCGACCAACTGAACTTCCTCACTGAGTGGTTCTTACTAGGAAATTATCAGCCCAGTCTGACAGTCTCTGAAAACATATCAGTGTTTTACTGTAAAGCCAAAGATGGGGGAAGAAGCAGTTTTGGGGGTTTCCTGATCAGCTTTTATTCAAGCCCTTAAATCTGTGAATATGCGATGTTAACGCCACCTTACGTTTGTATTAGATTAGCAGTATGCAACTGGCTTTCCAAACCGTGGTCCTATTGATAGTAGTGTAGTTGTAAAACGTACATAGAATAATTTGCCTCCTACACAGTGTGTAAATAGCAAAGGACATCTCTTTACTTGGATTTTTAAAAATTCCAGTAGATTCAATTTATTTTAATGTAAACAAAAGTGATAACATGCAAACTTCCTGCCTTTGACACAATTCTATTTGTAATTGCACTTTGTAATATGAAAACTTGAAAACATTTGGAGTAAATGATGGCATAACAATATGGTGGAATATAAGCCATTAAAATTAAAAATCATGACTACATATACAGAAATATGATATGCCATTGAGTTTTACTTCCAGCTGGCGTTAGACTACAACTTAATATTGCTACTCTAAAAAACCATGGATAAAGATCTAAAGTAAATAAAATTTGGTTAAGAGCTAGAGGCCGGGCGCGGTGGCTCAAGCCTGTAATCCCAGCACTTTGGGAGGCCGAGACGGGCGGATCACGAGGTCAGGAGATCAGACCATCCTGGCTAATATGGTGAAACCCCGTCTCTACTAAAAATACAAAAAACTAGCCGGGCGAGGTGGTGGGCGCCTGTAGTCCCAGCTACTCGGGAGGCTGAGGCAGGAGAATGGTGTAAACCCGGGAGGCGGAGCTTGCAGTGAGCTGAGATCCGGCCACTGCACTCCAGCCTGGGCGACAAAGCGAGACTCCGTCTCAAAAAAAAAAAAAAAAAAAAAAAAAGAGCTAGACATATAAGTCAGTTTTTAAAGTTTTGCAGTGTATACTTGACAAATAGTATTGTGATTGGTGACAGCTGTCATGTGGAACTTTGAAGATTTTTCATGTAATGCTGATGCAAATGTGTATGCATATGTGCAAGTAAATTGCCTAGTAGATATATTAATTCAAATTAAGATTAAATGCTTTTCAAGAGTGGGAAATAAAAAGGGAGTATATTACAAGTAGAGAATGATTGGGATTTTTTTTTTTTTTTTTTTTTTTGAGACAGAGTCTTGCTCTGTGGCCAGGCTGGAGTGCAGTGGCGCGATCTCAGCTCACTACAACCTCCAATTCCCTAGTTCAAGCGATTCTCCTGCCTCAGCCTCCCAAGTAGCTGGGATTACAGGCACGCACCACCATGCCCAGCTAACTTTTTTGTATTTTTAGTATAGACGGGGCTTCACCATGTTGGCCAGGATGGTCTCGAGCTCCTGACCTTGTGATCCGCCAGCCTTGGCCTCCTAAAGTTCTGGCATTACAGGTGTGAGCCACCTCACCCAGCCATGATTGGGAAATTTTTAGAATAGTTATGTGTATTATCATGTTATCATATATTCATACATTTCCCGATACATAGTAGACTCTCGCTAAATATGTCCAGACTCCAGGAAGTAACTGAGAGCTGCTAATTTACACGTTCTTTTTTTTTTTTTGAGATGGAATCCTGCTCTGTCACCCAGGCTGGAGTGCAGTAGTGCAATCTCAGCTCACTGCAACCTCCAACTCCCAGGTTCAAACAATTCTTCTGCCCCAGCCTCCCGAGTAGCTGGGACTACAGGCATGTGCCACCATGCCCAGCTAGTTTTTGTATTTTTAGTAGAGACAGGGTTTCACCATATTGGCCAGGCTGGTCCTGAACTCCTGACCTCGTGATCCGCCTGCCTCAGCCTCCCAAAGTGCTGGGATTATAGGCGTGAGCCACCACGCCTGGCCCTTTATTTTTCATTTTATTTTATTTTTTTGAGATGGAGTCTCACTCTGTCTCCCAGGTTGGAGTGCAGTGACACGATCTCGGGTCACTGCAACCTCCACCTCCGGGTTCAAGGGATTGTCCTGCCTCGGCCTCCTCCTGAGTAGCTGGGATTACAGGTGCATGCCACCACACCTAGCTAATTTGTGTGTGTGTGTGTGTGTTTTGTTTTTGTTTTGAGACAGAGTCTCACTCTGTTGCCAGGCTAGGGTGCAGTGGCACTTTTTTTTTTTTTTTTTTGGCTCACTACAACTTCCGCCTCCTGGGTTCAAGCGATTCTCCTGTCTCAGCCTCCCGAGTAGCTGGGACTACAGCACACGCACTACCACACCCGGCTAATTTTTCTATTTTTAGTAGAGATGGTTTCACCGTGTTGGCCAGGATGGTTTCAATCTCTTGACCTCATGATCCGTCCGTCTTGGCCTCCCAAAGTGCTGGGATTACAGGCATGAGCCACAGTGCCTGGCATATTTTTGTGTTTTTAATAGAGGCAGGGTGTCACCACGTTGGTCAGGCTGGTCTCAAACTCCTGATCTCATGATTCGCCCACCTTAGCCTCCCAAAGTGCTCAGATAACAGGCAGGAGCCACTGCGCCTAGCCCTTAATTTACATTTTCTAAGTACTGACAGTTTTGGTAAAGTAGTAAACTAGAAAAGCTCCTTCTGGCCGGGCGCAGTGGCTCACGCCTGTAATCCCAGCACTTTGGGAGGCCGAGGCGGGCGGATCACAAGGTCAGGAGATCGAGACCACGGTGAAACCCCGTCTCTACTAAAAATACAAAAAATTAGCCGGGCGCGGTGGCGGGCGCCTGTAGTCCCAGCTACTCAGGAGGCTGAGGCAGGAGAATGGCGTAAACCCAGGAGGCGGAGCTTGCAGTGAGCCGAGATCGCGCCACTGCACTCCAGCCTGGGCGACAGAGCGAGACTCCGTCTCAAAAAGCAAAAAACAAAAAGCAAAAAAAAAAAAAAAAAGAAAAGCTCCTTCACGGCAGGGACCATGTCTTAGATATCTTTATACTTCACAATGTGCTTAATACATTGTAGGTGCAGAATACATATTATGTTGGGCTGGGGGTTCACAGTCAAAATTTGATGTTAATATATGCACTGATACTTCGAAAGCAAAAAGAGAAAATACATAAAAATGTTTACTGAAGGGAGCAGCACAGAATAATTAGCTATCATCCAAGTTTCCATCAATCTAAGTAAGAGTTATTTATGTGATTTATCAAAAAGCTTCACTGAAGTTTTTGCATTTAAAACTTACTAATTTATAGCAGGTCATGGTGCACATGCCTGTAGTTCCAGCTACTTGGAGGCTGAGGCAGGAGGATCGCTTGAGCCTGGGAGGTGGAGGCTGCAGTAAGCTGTGATGACCAGACCAAGACCCTGTCTCAAAAAAAGAAAGACAGCTGGGTGCAATGGCTTATGCCTATAATCCTAGCACTTTGGGAAGCCAAGGCCAGGAGCTCACAATGAATCTGACCAACATAGCAAGATCCCTGTCCGCAATTTTTTTAATGGTTAAAGAAATTATTTTTTTTAAAAAGGAAGAAATAGGAAGTATAAAATTAATTGAAGATACTGCAGAATGCTGAGTTTTAATGTGAAATTAATGATTCTAAAGATGACTTGGAAATGTGATTATGACAGAAATTTGCAGTAATGTGTACTGTCTGGAGAGGAGTAAATTAAAAGAATGAGAAGACAGCCCGGGAATATAGTAAGAACTCGTCTCCACAAAAAAATTAAAAATCAGCTGAGTGTGGTGATGCATACCTGTAGTCCCAGCTACTCAGAGGCTAAGATTGGAGGATCACATGAGCCCAGGGAGGTTGAGATGTAAACTATGATCGCACCACTGCCCTCCAGCCTAGATGACAGAGTAAGACCCTGTCTCAAAAGAAAATAGAAAGAAAATGAGAAGAATATTTAACTCTTATTTGGACTTCCACCAAATTTTGTTCAAGACTTCTTTCATCAGCTTCCTACATAGCCAGTTATAGTACTTACCTCATTCTGCTTTAAATTTTGCTTATGTTTAAACACAATTAGATTTTGAGTTGTTTAAAGGCAAAGACTTTTTTTTTTTTTTTTTTTTTTTTTTTTGAGATCGTGTCTTGCTCTATTGCCCAGGCTGGAGTGCAGTGGTGCAATCTAGGCTCACGGCAAGCTCCGCCTCCCGGATTCATGCCATTCTCCCGCCTCTGCCTCCCAAGTAGCTGGGACAGGTGCCTGCCACCACACCCGGCTAATTTTTTGTATTTTTAGTAGAGACGGGGTTTCACTGTGTTAGCCAGGTTGGTCTTGATCTCCTGACCTCGTGATCCGCCCGCCTCGGCCTCCCAAAGTGCTGGGATTACAGGCGTGAGCCACCACGCCCAGCTATTCTTTATTTTTTTAATGATTGAAGGATTTATTAAGTCATACCTACAAAACATAATGCTAATTGCATTACCAAAAGATTAATATAAAAACACTCCACAATTCTGCAACTGTCCATTTAAAAAATTTTGTTCCTGACTGGGCGCGGTGGCTCACACTTATAAGGCACTTGGGAGGCAAAGGCTGATGGATCACTTGAGGTCAGGAATTCGAGACCAGCCTGGTCAATATGGTGAAACTTTGTCTCTACTAAAAATACACAAAATTAGCCGGGTGTGGTGGCACACGCCTGTAATCCCAGCCACTTGGGAGGCTGTAGCAGGAGAACCGCATGAGCCTGGGAGGTGGAGGTTGCAGTGAGCTGAGATCATGCCACTGTACTTCAGCCTGGGCGACAGAGCAAGACTCCGTCTCAAAAAAAAAAAAAACTGTTCTAGTGGTTGAGAGG